ACATTTTAACCCTGCGAATCTTTTCTGTTGGTATTCGTCACGGCCTCGGCCTCACTGAAGAAGTCTCTTCCGTAAATAGAGGTATAAGGGTAGGTTTAGCATAGGCTCACGGAAAGCCATGTTTTTTCGCCTGAACTCTCTCAGTTAGAGGTTCAGGTGCTGGCATCCTCGCGGTCTTCCACCCTGATAGGAATCTCATGTGAGAAGTCCAGTGTAAAGGACAAGCTACTACAGACTCGTTCCTGCATACTACGAGACAGAAGAGGGAGGGAATGGATATTTGTAAGGTATCAATAAGGGGAAGACCAAGCCTCTCAACATAAGAAAAATTGGAACGTAGGAGTTCAGTGTAAGTCCAACATGCTATTTTGACGAGAGATCGCAGAGAGAACAGAAAAAGGCGCAACCTTGCGTGCGAAAGGTGAAATGGCACTTCGAGAAAAGTCCGCACTAAAGATTTTTGCCATATTTCCTTTTTCTCTTCTTATACCTGCCAATTCACTTTTCTATCAAAATGATCGGTGGCTCCGCAAGGTTATGCTTTCAACCAAAGGCTGGCTTTTTCTATTAGTCCTCCTTAGTTTGTGCTTAGTAAGTTCTAGTGGATATCCGAGCTGATTCTAGCCACATTTCCTAGACATGTCTTTTCGTTATATTACTCCATCCTTTTTTCCCCATCATGATTAAGATGCTTTTCAGAGTGTGCATTTCAACCAGATAGAAAGAAGAAATTAATAAGAAAGGAATCGCATTTGAAGCCATTTTTCATGAGGTTGTCGTAACCTTGACAAACATAGAGCTGCTTTGGTACTGAACTACCTATGTTATTCTCCAAGGTTGCGAGCGTACGATGATATACCCAGATTCTCGAAATGCCACAAAACCGAAAAAAAAATGCATTCTAAAAATTGTGCGCCCCCTGACGTACGCCGTCTGTTGCGTGTTGAAGCAACAACCTTAAAGGCAAGATTCGGGATAAAATAGGTGTGGAAAAGCGTTCAGTTATGAAGCTAGAGGTGGGAGGTGGTCTGTAAAAGAGAAGGAAAGCAAACGAAACCACCGATTACGCCCCGTACAGAGACCTCCCCTATTTCAGCCACATTCCACCTTGGGATAGAGAAGAGGCGAATTGGACGAGTTTCACGAACCTAACTCTAGTTGCTCCAGTGCCAATGACATTGGATCGCTGGGACCGCTGCCTCAAATGCGCCCGCGCTTTTCAAGCAGCGCCACGTGGCAACCGACAGCGGAGGGTGGGGCTTGCGGACGAAGGTGTGAGTTGCGGGTCGGACGAGCTCCTTGCGCCTTTGTCGCGCACTTTCAAGCGCAAAAGGGGCGCGACATCAACGCTTGTCCGCCTGCCTACTACCCCCGGGATGGAACAGGCTGAAAATGAAAAAGAAGCAATGAAATTGGCTGATAAAGTCGTTGATAGAGGGCTGCCCTTCCCCCCTCTCGAATAGAAGAGGAATGTTGTCGGATGAGCTGTCCCTGATATAGCTAGCCTAAGATAGCTCGCTCTGCAGGGATTTATTGCTGACTACTACTTAAGAAATGGAGCTGCAATCACATGTGCAACACAAACAAAGAAATACAATAATTAAACGATTCAAACAATAAAACCAGTCGAAAGACGTGCGGCATTTTTCAAGCGCGGCGAATGTCCACACGCAATCGCGCAAAGACCATGCAGCCATTCGCGCGATCTTCACGGGTAGCAAATGGGCGTGTCAAAAAAAAAATCACCACCATTCAACTCCTCTTAGCGCCTTTCCAGGGTGAGATTTTGCTTCGGCGAAATTCAATATGCACTCGAATAGGACATATTTTTATTCCACTGATAGCAGAAATTTGAATCCACCTGGGGTTGCTGCTTTGAAGCTAGGCGCTTAGGACTTGAATCACCCCTAGCCCACAGCTTAAGCTTCCCCTCATTCCATCTCTTATCTGTGTGCTATTGCCGATCTGCTATGCTGTCTCAACTCAGAGTTCTTTTCTCTCAGCACAATACAGGGGTGGCCAAAAAAAGAGACACTTTGCCCATGGCGCACATCATCGAACTTTTCGTCGCACAGGGAGCCGATGTTAATGAAAGTTTTACGGCGGAATATTCCTTAGGTGTTCCCCCGTAAGCAGAAGCAGGCCCTCCTTCACTGCCCCACCGTCTTCAGAATATGACGTCATCTGCCGCCACCGTCGAGCTCAACGAGGCTTACCGTAATCGCTCCGGCCTGAAGCTGCTACATAATTTCTTCAATGATTAACTGGTGAATAGCTTCTTAGAGACACTAGCTGTGACTGTGCAAGACCGCTTTTGACCAGCGTTTCAGGGACGTCGTAATGGTCTATGGTACCTCGACGACCTCGTTGAGCTCGTACCGTGAACCATGTTTCCGTGGGAAAATCTTCTGATGTCGTCGGTGTAGAAGGCTGTCATGTAATTTTAGATAGATTAGAATGTGCTCTTTAATACTAAGTTGGGTCAGTCGATTTGATTTAGCAAAGTGTGATTAATGCTGTCTGAAATGTGAAGTGAAGTGTCTCTTTTTTTGGCCACCCCTGTACACTATTACTTGTGTGTAGTCCGAATTTTCCGCAGCTTAGAACAAGGAGGCTCTCATGTTCATTTTTTTTACGATTTCTTTTCCTTTCTCCATTTGCAATCCTCATCGAATCCCTACTTTCGAATGGTAGCGAATTGATCATCATTTATCACGGGGATTTGATCCTGGACCTAGCCCTTGACCAGACCAGCTTATCCTTGTAGACATGGACATGCATTGAACTAATGCATAAATCCTCGCTTTTTTTATATCTTCCTTAGTCTCACTCCAGTTTTGGAATTAGGCAGGGAGCATTTGGTTGTTCGGAACATTCTCTCACTACGGAAGCCCTCATTCTTCAGAAGTACATGGTTTCCCTTAACTTTCATAGACTCAAGAGTATAACACACTGAGAATGAAAGGAGTTTAAAAAGCTTGTGTTCAACACCATTTGGCGCTGCAGCATTCGGTATCGTGACTTATACTACCTCCAGAAAGATGAAGGTAAGATTCTTGTAGGGGTTGATTTGAAGAAGTCAGTGGCGAGTGAACAGAACGAGCTATCTGGGCAGCTACTCAGATGCACGAGGAGCTTAGGATCAACGAGAAAACCGAAATGAATCGCAGTTACTAACCCTACATGTTTGACGACTCTCGTCCCCGAAAATATTTTTAAATGTTCTCCGCTAGACTCAGTAGAGCGCCCGAACCGAGTGGTGTTATACAGGGTAAGGCATAAATATGACAACAGAATAAATGGTGCCCATTTCGATCGAGGTTCGGAAAGTTGGAACGGGAAACAACCACAACAAAGTGTAACCATATTTTAGCTAAAATTCCCCATCATTCTTCTCGAGTATGGCCTTGGCAACTCAGACGGACTCGACAGAAATCTATTATTTATCGCATGAGATCCTTCGAAACTTCATCCCATACTTCCTGAAGAAGAGGTTTCAGCGCTCCAGTTGGACTGCTGCTCCGAGCACTTCTTCAGCTTTGATGACGGCCACATTGAATAGCCGCTGCATTCACAGAAGCCAATTGTTTTGCACATTTAAGCTGAGAGAATATTTCCTCAAAATCCTGTCTAAGATAGCATTTGGCTCGATATTCTGGTCCCCCATTTAAGAAAATCAAGGAGATGATGGAAATTCGGTTCATCAGGTTTAATTCATAGCTGAGCTATGATGTTCCATTCGGTTCAAGTGGTTCCTGTTCTGATAAACTCTTCAATAATAATTTAATAATTGAAGGCTGAGTATCTTCATATAAAAACTTGATCATTCATGGAAATTTTAACGAATTTCTGAGGCTTCATATGGGCTCAGTTCGTGGCACGCCCCAGATGCCATTGACTCTCCTCGTTTCTCGTCTGCACGTCAGAGAGCTTGCCCTTTTGATATTTGAACGCTTTCAGAGTGTTACCCACAACTCTCACTGTTTTCAATCCGGTACTTTTGTATCTGCAGCCAATTTTCTGCTGCTGCTCTCCGATTCTCGGCAATATTTACGAACACCCCTCAGCTTCATCAAGCGGTCGACCTTTACGAAGGATATAATTGAGTGTACTTCAACTGGACGAACTGCAAGCAATCATGAAGTCGTTTGCATATGTTAAACCGATAGCCGCTATCATTCCAGCAAAGATCATGCTTTGATTGATGACGCATTCCATGGGAAAGTTATAGGATACACACTCGAAGTGGAATATCTCATCCAAATGATAAGAACAATGATGCTGCTAGCAACACACAATGGGCGGAGCACAGGCGGCGGAGGCGGAGCTCAGGGAGGATTGGCAGCCCCAGGGCGCTGAACTAGCGCACCTTTGCCACGAAAAGGCCACATCTCGCTTCCTCAGGCCCTGACTACTGCTTCCAATGGTGCATGTACTTCGACGCTTGCACACACCATCTGTCGTAATCTCTCGTTTTAGGTCACACAGGGTTCCGACGATGCGTCTCAGTTTCAGCAAATTTCAGAAGAAGTCGGTA